AGTCTTCTAAGGTTCACCCTGGTAGCCTCAGATTGAACACCTGGTTTAATAAGTGACCATCATACATCAGCCTGGACAGTTACTAGACATCAACACGTCTCTGTCACTGCTGTTGGAGTTGTTTGTTTAAAGGAATCATGACTTTATTCTGAAAGTGTTCCTCTGACCACCATCCTATGGTCAGAGGGTTACACACAATAAATGTAGGAAGACTGGCAGAATCAGAGCCAAGATGGTGGACAGCAGGAGGACTATGTAACGTATGTGGGCTGGATGGCTGACTGCGGCTACAGAGAACTGGTTCTTCTAAGGAGCCTGGATTGTGACTGAACACAGGAGGCAGTAGTAAAGTTTGAATCTGTATTAACAAGAAAGTTCTTTACAAAATGAATAACCAGTACACCCAAACACCATTCTAGGAAAGAGGGAAAAATAATGGATTACCCACAATAACTCAGTAGTTGTCAGTAATTCCTGTATATAGTCCTCAAAAGAAAAAGTGTTCACATGTTTTTTCTTTGTAATCCAAAAACAGGTGGTCCAGGTAGGTAGGTGGGTCATTTATCCTACCGGGTCCATGATCTGGCCGCCAGGTGAACTGGGTGGAATGGACTCCAAAAGACAATCCAGAACAGAACCTAAAGGGTCAAAAATACACACAAGGTTTGCATAACATAATCAATACCTAACAGTAACCAACATAAAACCAATGCATGTATAATCACACACGGTAAGACAGTCCATTAACTAAATCAATTGATTGGCCATAGATTAATTGATAGATCAGATAATCAACTCAACAGTCAAGTTAATTGGTCATAGATAAATCAAACTCCAAGTGCGCCTTCTATAACTGACATTTAAGTCCAAACTCCTCAAGCAGAGTTTAAGAGTTAAATTACTTCCAAGTTCAAATTAATCATTGCACAATAATATCATTTCAGTGAATGCGGAGCTACAGTTGACCAAACCCCAGAGCCGATCAGGCCTTAATAAAAACAAAANAAATGTTGGTCTCAGAGTCCTCAGAGTGGATTTCATTGTGTGCTCCACATGAAGCTGCTCCTTCTAATGATTCCACATGAGTGTGTTTGATTTGACCAACATCAAGTGTTGAGCTTTGATTCCATCAGCCTCCAGTCAACTTGACTGTGTGAAGAAATGTCTGCAACAAGCTCTGTTCTCTGTCACAGACTGTTGGATCCAGTCACACTGGTCCAAGAAGGCAGTGAAATGCTGCTTTGACGTGACATGAATGCAGTCGATATCCAGCTGAATGCAGACACAAATGGAACCATGTTGTTGAGCCGCTCTGTGCAGGATGTGAAGCTTTGTTGACTGTGTGAGAAAACAGCCTCCACATGTTGGACATGTCACAATATCACACAGTTCATCAGGGACAAAGCAGTCGTTTCCTTTGAGCAGCTGCAGGTAACACGTGGACGAGCACGCTCACATCTTTGACACCTGTCCAGGTAAGAAGCTGTTGAGACAATTCAGAAGAAGTCAATCACTGAGCTGCAGCTGCTTCTTCAACATCTGTGAAAAACGTGTGAACGTGTCTTTTGTCTTCATCTGGATGTTTATGTTGTAACATCTCTGAGCGTCATTCTATCGTCCACACTGTGTTTTTGTCTGTTGGACACGACGACGGTAAGAAGTGTGAGAATGAAGTGACAGAGAAGTGAGAGCGAGTAGAAATGGAGGAATGAGAACAGACGTGAGTGTTGGGGATCAGCGCCCTCAAGCGGTCACAGCTACTAACTGCAGCTGGGTCAGTTCCGGGTTGGCAGCGCAGAGAATCATGGGAATGTGAGTGTTTAGATGTAAAGTGTTAAATGAGTCGTTGTGTGATTGTTGAGCAGGTGTTGATCAGGTGGTTTGTGAGTAACAAACATCCACGACAGACTCTGAGAGCGACTCATTAGAGGACAATTATAGAACAACAGTTGGTCGCTGGAATAATTCAATAAAACCGTTAAATGATGGCTGCAGCGTTTATGTGTCCTGTTTGCCTGATGGTAGTGTGTTGGGGAAACTAAAGTATAATGCCAAGCTGAAGTCACTATAACAGACCTCTGTACGAAATAAAACTAAGAAGATGAATACTTTTCCTGTTAATTATACATCATAAGTACAAACCTAAAACTTTATTGATACACTATTATGTGAGCATTTCTCTGCTGTGTTTTAACGTTTCTAAAATGTACATGTTTTTAAATTACTATATTTAAATCCTCATCAGGAGAACTAAAGGAATCACATACACTTGCCTTTGTAGTCACTACATCTGTAATGTAAGAGTTTGGAGACAAAACACAAGAACCCCTCTGGGGGCAGGTATAGACTATCATAAGGAAGTATATATACACACACACATATATATATATACACAAGTGATGATGTAGAAACATTGACTGCTGTATAGAAATGAGTCAAACCTGCACCAGACTGTCTGAGAGAAGCTTTTAAACACGGCTGCTGATTTGAGAAACCTTTGTTCTGTTTCTGAACATAAAGAAGACAGATTATACATGGTGCTGTTAGATCTGGACCTGGCCTCATGTCGTCTACGTTTGGGGGAAAAAATTCAATAAAATCTTCCATTTGTGCATTTTTCCAAATAGAACAAAGTCCTCGTAGATGAGAGAGTGTGTTTCAGACAGCACGAAGGCTTCACTTAAAATGTCCAACACTGTTTTACAATTTTTTTCAAATGTGAAAACAAACAAAGAATCTGTGGCTCAGCGCTGAAAGATAACTTTTTCTGAACTTGAGCGTCATGAGTCAGTGTGAATATGAAGTTGTATGGAGAGCTGCAGTTAGTGCCTGTGACCGCTGGAGGGCGCTGATCCCCAACACTCACGTCTGTTCTCATTCCTCCATTTCTACTCGCTCTCACTTCTCTGTCACTTTATTCTCACACTTCTTATCATCGTCGTGTCCAACAGACTAAAACACAGTGTGGACGATAGAATGACGCTCAGAGATGTTACAACATAAACATCCAGATGAAGACAAACGACACGTTCACACGTGTTTCACAGATGTTGAAGAAGCGGCTGCAGCTCAGTGATTGACTTCTTCTGAATTGTCTCAACAGCTTCTTACCTGGACAGGTGTCAAAGATGCGAGCGTGCTCAATGAAATACGCTCTGAGAAACACAGCGAGCGTCTTTGACTGTTCACAAAAGTCTGACTAATTAAAAGACCCTTCAAAATGATTAATTAGGCTCATTTATTCGACTAATTTAAATATGAAGATTCGGAACCTACAACATTAGTGATACAATAATTAATATATAATTATACCTGACCTTAATTATATAAATATACCTGACCTGTGTAAATATTCAGATTTACAACCTACAATATTTTCAAATATGCAAATTTCAGCCGCAGTGATCCAAACAACGCGTCTGCTCTCCTTCCTCAGGGAAATATAGATCCATCAGAGGTGCAGCACTTCCCTCTGAAATACTGTGCAGCTGAAGGACTGAGCATCACAAAGGCCAGATGAGAAATCAGTGCTGTCTCTCATGTGCCACGTTTTATTTTGAAGTTACCAGGACTTATTTTGAAATGAAAGTCGGAGATTGCGTATGTTGTCGAGCAGCAAGGAGCGTCACCGGCTGGAGGAGCAGGAGCTGCTCCGCAAGAGACTCAATCCACAAAAGAAGAAGAGAACAACAAGGACGACCAGTAAACAACAACAAGTAAACAACAACAGGGAGTAAGGAAGAAGCAGTGACCCGGATGAGGCCGTGAAGCTGCGGATCACTTTGTTTTCTTCACACAGACTCAAACAGCTGCTCCAGCTGCCAGTCAACCTGGATCCGGCCCCGCCCCCTCAGGTAAGCGCACAGGTGTGTTCGCCTGGCTGCAGTTTACTAAAGTACTCTAGAACTCAACGTACCACTGCAGAACTGCAGAAAAACTACTCTTCCTTTATGTAATTAGAGGAAAAGTGCATATTCTGAGCTTCATGTAGGTAAAGTGTCAGCAGTAAAGTACTCAAGTATCCTGGCTTATCTCTACTCTGTCTCTGACTTGTCTCTAACCTGTCCCTAACTAGTCTCTGACTCGTCGTTGACTCGTCTCTGTTTTGTCTCTGAGTGGCTAATGCTTTGATGGTGTCTCCTGTGCTAATGTGTTGTGTCTTAAATCTATTACACATTGAATATTACACTAAACCTTTAAAAAAAAAAAAAGGAGAAAATTGCACTTGGATATTTTGGTTCGGCTCTGATGTGAACTGGACAAAATAAAGGGCGTCTTAATGTCAAACTGTCCACCTTCTGAATTCAAACGAGGCTCCAACAGTCTGATGGTTTACAGCTGAAACATTGTTCCAGTTTCTTTCCCTCCGTCATTCTCCTGCTCTCTGTTTTGTTTTCTGTTTTTAGCAGGATGGAGGGAAGCGGCTCGGCAGGAAATCCCAGCGCTGCCTCGTCTCGCTCACTTCCTGCCCTCGCTGACAAGGCAACGCTGCAACCAGATGGCCAGGGATCCGAGTCTGAGGATGAAGACGAGGAGAGACNCTGCTGCTCTTCATCCTGATGAGCTGCTGATCAAACTCATTCATCTCCTCTCTTCTTTCTTCTTCTCTCTGCAGATGGAAGTGATGCTGATCAGGACGGTGTTTGTGCTGAGAAGATGAACTGTGTCCTGATGATCCAGAGGTTGAAGCAGCAGCAGCTGGTGTGTAGAGACTCTGACTGGACCATGTTACTGGGAGGTGGACTGGGAACCAGGATGACGTCTGTTATTACTGTATAGTTGAGTGTTGCAGCTCCACACTGACTATGGTTAGATTAGTTCTGACCTTGAGGGTTTTTTTTTCAATTAAATTCCCCTTTTAAGCTAAACCCACCCTGTCTGTCCATGAACATTTTTTTGCATATTTCCCAGAAGTAGATTATTTCTTGCTTTGTACATGATTTGTGCAGTCTTGAATTTCACCAGATCAGTGAACTTCAGTGTATGTGACTTCAAAAATAGTGGATTGGTAAGTTCAAGATGTCCAGTGTTATGAATGATTCCTATTGCTCTTTTTTGTAATGTGCATAATGGCTGCAAGTTGATTTTGTAGGTGTTACCCCATATCTCCACACAGTAACTCAGATACAGTAATATGAATGCATTATGGAGTGTATGTAGCGATTTATGGTCTAGAATATGTCTTGATTTTCCCAGGATGGATATAGATTTCGCTAATTTTGCTTTGACATGATTTATGTATTTATTTGCCATAATTTTAACAAAAAAAGGTAAATTTATATGTTAATTGTAAAATAAATAAATTGTTACATTGCAAATTAATTAAAGTAAAATCAGATAAAAAAGATGTTTATTTCTATAGTTTGTAGACAAAAAACAAACAAATCATGCCACAGCTGTAAATACTACTGACATTCAAAATCTGTTTTTTTAAAGAAATATTATTTTGTTGTTTTACAGTGTCTGATCATAAAAGTTGTACTGTTTTCGTTTTTCAATCAACAACAACAACAAAATCAATCAATAAAACACAGACATTTGCTGTCATTTTGACTGTTTTTATTTTATTTTTTAAATGTATTGTTCCACTGTTAACTCTTAACTTCGTCCTTGGACTTGCTGCTGCCAGATGTTCCTCATGTGTCCTGAAATGAGCTGCAGCTGAAATGACATTTAGTCCATGAAATGTTGGTCTCAGAGTCCTCAGAGTGGATTTCATTGTGTGCTCCACATGAAGCTGCTCCTTCTAATGATTCCACATGAGTGTGTTTGATTTGA